CCCCACGTGACCCCCCCCCAGGATCCAGGCGCCCGGAAGCTGTTACAGCTGCGGGCAGCCGGCCCCGCAGAGGCGCACCCCGCCTTCCCGGGGCTCCGACCGCTGGGCCGGGCCCTTGTGCCGTGTAAACGCGGTGCCGAGGGGTTTTCCTTCCACAGAGGCCCGCTAGCACGGCAGGGCCCCCACCCAGCGGGAGGGATCCAGCCAGGAAAGCCCTTCCAAACCGCTTCCAGGCTTGCATGACTGTCTTAGGACTAAGCTTGTTTTGTCCCCTTTGCTGGACACATTCCTCGTTCAGTGGGTGAGTCTTCCACAACGGCAGGGCAGCTGCAACATTGTTCTTGCCCAATTTTATCTGAAAGGTGTAAGATACAGGAGTAGCTCTCTAACATTTGTATCCCTGGTATCGTGCTCTCTGGTACTGCACTTTGTTGCAAGGCTTGAGACTAACACAAACTCAGCTTCAAGACAAAGGAAACTCCATTCTGAGTTCCAGTAGAAAGATGCTACATTAGTCAAACCTCAGCACATATGCCCATTTCAAAACATTAGTGTAAAGTTCACTCTTATATGCAAAAATCAGTTTACAGGTGCACGTAAAGTAACACACACACAAAATACCCATCCATTTCCAGCACTTTACAGGGACATTCTGTCTCCACTTCCTACTACGGGAAAGGCTTGAAGTATTTTTTTAAGCAGCTTCCAAACAGCCTCACTTTTATTCACACAAAAGACCAGGCACGCCACATAGTTTGAAGTCCAGAAGGTTCAATTTGTGTAAGAATTCAGTGTGCAAAAAGAACAAAACATTGTTTCTTTAGGATACATAAATACAGTTAAAGGGAAAGCACAACTAAAGTTGATCCTCTGCTGGAAAACATTCTTTCCAGAAGATGGCCAGCAACATGCTCTTCTCAGGGCAGTTATCAGAGCTATTCTGCATTTTTCATCATGAAAATGCCATACAAACATTATACTTGCACCAGAGATTTGTAAAATGGGAATGCAAATACAAGTAGGAAAGCACACCTACAAAGAATAAACGATTTGTTCAAGACTAGAGTTAATAGTGTGGAACCAGCTTCCAGGCCCAGATTTAGTTCATTAGATCACAGACCGGGTCTACCATCCAATTTTTAATTCTCTTCATCATTAAAATAGAAAAGTTAAGAGTTAAAAACTAATTGTGCTTTACAGAGATCAGTTTTGCCCTCCCCTAGAATGCACACCTTAGCAAGTGTTGCAAAAGCATATCCGAGGACCAAAGTTACGGGTAAGTGTTCCCCCTACACCCATACATTCCTTTTAAACTGCTGTAACAGGCCTGATAAATAGCAAGATAGCATATGTAGCCAATGCCAAAATTAAACACATTCCACACCCACCTTTACTTACTTGTTGAATGAAACCAACAAAGTAGTGAGGCTAATGAGCTACAAGCAGGGACTCCTCCCCACATTTCCTAGGTTGTGGCTGGTGACACATTGAACAGTAATCAGTTTAAGACTATAATATTTACTGAATTATAGTTTAAAGAATGACAAGGCTTCAGGATAGATAGTTTTCTAGAGACACCAATGTATCTACAGCATTATATTAACAGAGCAAGAGCTTGGACAGAGAGCCAGGTAGTTAGAAAATACAAATCTCAGGCAACAGAAACACTGAAACAGAACCCGGACCAGAAGGGACATGACATAATACAATTTTAGCTTCTCATTTAGTTTTTAAATGGAAAGAATTATGAGCACTTTAAACAGAAATGGTATTTTTGCTCACATACCTAAAACTACTCTAATTTTTAAACATACAGAAAAAATGCACTAATCATTACATCTACAAATGTGAGACTTTTAAACTAGAAGGCTGAATCCTGGCATTTGGGGACTGTTTGGAAAATGAGTGCCATTTGCAGTCTCTTAATAAAATATGGCAAGAGTCCTGCCTCTTACGAACTTGAACTGTGATAGCACACAGTTTCTAATGGATCAGGTCATCTCCTGCAATAGGTATATTGAATCTGTGAGTGAGAGGAGTATGGGAGAAGTGCTGGGGCTGAAAAAGGACATTTCTCTATAACCAGAAGTAGTACATAGGAAGTGTTGGCATATCCACATTCCTCAGCCTCAAAGGGAAAATAGTCTCAAGTGGCATTACATAATTCTTGCCTATATGCTGATGGTCACAGGGAGATAGGTGAACTCTGGCTGCACAGTGGTGACAGGCCAAAATGGAACAACCCTGTGTATGGCTGCTGTGGGAAGCAGAACACCATGGTGGATGAAACGAGTCATGCTGGTAGTGATGCTGAGTAGGGCTTAGACTCTGTGGCTAGCAACAGAAAGGTACGACCACTTCCCTGGGGAACCAGGTGGGCTAATCTCTGGATGATTGCTGTAGGTGTATGAAGTTAATTTCTCTGGTGATGTTTGGTGAGTGTTTTGGGCTATATGAGGGAAATAGCAACAGATCAGTGAAGGTGCAGTTAGTCTGTGGAGATGGCAGACAATACAGAGATGCCATAGTGATGGCAGCTGAAGGTGGGCAAAGCCTATCCCGCTGGTGATGCTACTTGGGGACTCAGGAGTCCCACTGAGGCAAAAGCGGGTGGGTGGGGCAGGCCTCTCTTTCAGGTGGGAAACAGACTCCCTATGGAAGTGGCAGCAAGCAAGTGAAGTCAGTCTGGATGTGTGTGGGGGGGGACGGACTCAGGACCCCTGACCAGCAGGACTGATCATCTCTTGCAGCACTAGATGGAGCAGGTGGTTCTGCTCAGGGCTGAGCAGCGGCCAGAGCTCAGCTTGCAACACCTTGAGCGCCTCCAGGTCCTTCTCCTGACAGGCCATGACAGCGGACTGCAGCAGGAGGAAGAGGCCCGGAGGCAAGTACCCCGCCTGGGGGAGCTGCCCGGCCCCCGCCCCGCTCTGGCGGACTGCAGCAGGAGGAAGAGGCCCGGAGGCAAGTACCCCGCCTGGGGGAGCTGCCCGGCCCCCGCCCCGCTCTCGAAGGCCTCCCAACAGTACTTCTCGAGGGTCTGGGCATGCTCCGGCAGTAGCTTGGGGGGCGGG